GAACCCTCAGAGGCTACTGAGAGCTCCTTACTAAAGCCCACCAGAGCTGGGCAGACTCGCAGTACTAAGACCTTCCCCAGACTCCAGGGAGCCTGAACTCACAGGCTCACTCTGGGCAGGCAGCTGTCCACAAGAGTCCTGGAGCCTGGCCGCCAATCTGATTCCTATCAGCACGAGATAAGAGACAATAGTTCTGGGTCATCTCTGCAGCCCACAAGGGCCTACGAACCAGCGTTCCAGAGGCAAGGTCTTTGAAGGTCTGGGGGAGAGCAGTCAGCGTCATCTTGGCCAGCCCTTCCTCCAGACCTCACTGTGGTCCCGACCAACAAGATGGCTTGTTAGTAGACCGCCCCAGGTCCAGTCTCCTCTGGGTTCAGCCCAGCTGGGACCATGGGAAATGCGAACAGTCCCCTGAACCTTCCACGGGGGTCGGTTTTCTGTGTATGTGTGTCACTCACTTACACATCAGCCAGCCGGGGACTCAGGCCCAAAGAGAGACCCCGTAGGAGCAAGCAGCAGGGGTGGAGGGGCTTCAAAAAACATAAATTTGCTTTCAAGAGCACACCAAGATTTTTAATGTTTATTTCTTGTGAAATCCACTGTCTCCATCACACCTGAAGGAAAAAGTGAAGCTGGCATTACGTATACAGAGCTGGGCTTGGTCAGCTGTTCTAACAGTGCCCATCAAAGGCAGGCGAACCATATAACCAAATCCACTGCACGGGCTGGGGCTCATTCCGTTGGGTGGCCCTGAGGGACAGGACAGAGCTGCCCCAGAGGCTTTCCAAGGCCGCATGTCTCAGGAAGCAGATCACCAGATCTTTCTCCAGTGGTACGGTACAGCACCAGAGCTCCTTCATGAAAGGCCGAAGCAGGGCTAATCCTCCAGTGTGCTAACCCTCCAGTGTGAACCCTCCAGTGTGCCAACCCTCCAGTATGCGAACCCTCCACAGTGTGAACCCTCCAGTATGCCGACCCTCCAGTGTACCGACTCCTCCAGTGTGCCGACCCCTCCAGTGTTCTATATACGCTGGTCTACGGTGGGCACACGCAGGCAAGGTTTACAATCACACAGTGCAGAGATGCAAGTGACATGGAAGAAGTGGTCTGGGGACAAGAAGCCGTGCTCTGTCCCTCCTCCTGGCCTCAGCAGGCTCCCCGTAAGTGTCAACTGAGTAAGTGACCGAGGCTGAAGTGTCCATACACAGAGCAACCCTGACTGGGCGTACCTCAGACCCCCATACCCGTACAGTCCTGGGCCCTCCGCTCAGATGGGAAAGCGGGACGCCAGCCTGCACCAGGCTCCAAGTGACCTGACGTGTGAGCAGCGCTCATGCAGCCAGCGTGTGCTGTACTGTGCCGCGTGTGCCAAGCCAGGCGGAGGGTTCGTACAGCAGGTGTACACGTCTCTGTACTCCACGTGCTCGTCATCGAGGCGCAGCTTCATGAACCATCCCGACTTCACGCAAGGGTTTATACCTGGACAGACAGCAGAGGGAGGGCTGACACGACTCCAGTTCTCCAGGCTGCATGTTTGTCTCGTCCCTGCACCCACAGCACACATGCCACAGCCTGGCTGACCAGCTGCGGAGAGCTTTGTGAAATGTTTCCCGTCCAGCATCGGTCTCCAACCCTGAAGCTCAGGGCACAGGGCACATTCTGCACAGCACCCTCGCACCTCCCTCGCCATTGTGGTTTGGACCCTGGGATAACCGTCCAGGTGATTCTGTGCCCGAGACACGCACGGAACCCTGGGAGCCCAGACTTCCTCTGCCTGGGTTTTACTGCCTTTATTTGGCTTCTGATTAAAGATGTTTTCCAGCTTCAAGACTCCACGCTGCCCTCCCGGATTCTGTTCCCAGGTTGCTTCTCTGCCCCCATCTGCTCCAGAAACTGCTGAGAGTGGGGCAGGGGCACAGGGGACCCAAACTCCTCCACCAAGACGACCAAAACCTAAACTCACTCTGATGGTGCAGGCAAGAGGAGACAGGCTATGTTAGCCATTCTCCGACTCAGCAGACACTCTGAAGGGTCCAGAGGGAGGAGGCTGCACAGCTGCTCTCTGCCCACGGTCGTCCCACTCACATCCCTGTCCCTCTCCCATACCTGCCCATTACACTCTCACCTGTACCCAGGTGTCCTCTCCCACTCGCTCTGCAGCAGCCAAGGACTACTGGGAACAGGTATTCCTCACTCTTGCTCCCCGCTGGGGCCACACCCCCTCAACGTGGTCACGTGCTCCAACATCTAATGTCCATGTCTAAACTAGTTCCAGGTGGGATGAGCTGGTCTCTCTGGAGAAGGAGGATTGTTCTCCACGGCTAAGCTTCCGAAAGACAATCACCAGGCCTTTCTGCCAAGCGCCCCTGGAAGGACTTGAACCTACAACCTTTTGGTTAGCAGCCAAGAGCTTTTGCCTCTGGCACCAGCCTTTAACCCTCGGTGGGAAGGTTGCTGAGATGCCACTCCGCACAGATGTAAGTCAAACAAGCTGAGCAAGCTGAGAGGCAGTTACAGGATGGAAGCGTGTTGTCTGATGCTCCCAGGGACCAGCTGCCCCTGCAGAAACAGGAGCCCACCCACCTGAACAAGAAGCATGAGAGGGTGGAGAGGGACCAGTGCTGGCGCCCAGGAGACAGGCTTGCAGAATGTGCCCTCAGGTTGTTTAAATGGTTATATATTCCTGAGTATTTTTGTGTACATCCTCCCCACCCCACCCCAAAATAAAACACAGGGACTGGGAGCCAATACTGTTGGCTTAGGATACACCCAGAAAACATAGTCCACCACAGAGATCACAGGACACCCCGGTGCTGTAACCCAGCAGTATGAAGGGCACAGACGTCCGTGGGACTCCCTGACACATGCTACAGACCCATGGAGGAGGCGGGCTGTCCCCATGAGAATGCAGACGAGGACAGAGAAAAGGAGAACAGATAGCCCTCTGAACATGCACAGAAGAGAGGCCTGAACGTAGGCCAGGTTCCAGGCCGGGCGTGGACAGATGATGAACTCTGGGCACATGGGAAAGAACTGGTGGTGGGCCCAAGGAAGCCTGGAGACAGGCTAGAGGCCCCCCAGGAATTCACACCCCAGTGAGACTCTTCCTTAGTATCAGCCCCAAATTCTAGCCCAGAAACACCAGCCTACCCAACAACACTCACCCCAATGATCTGGGGGTCGGTCAGGTGGAGAGGTGTCCCTCTGGTAAGAAAGACTACAGGATTCCCCTGGGACTCTGAATGACCAGGCAGGGGAACTACAGCCCCCAGGCCTGGAAAGAAGATTCCAAAGCTCCTACAGTCCCCACAGCTGGTCCTCAGCACACCACCGCGCCCACCCACAGCCCAGCCCTGGGCCAGCAGATGAGGCCTCTCCATTCCCCAGTGGCGTGCAGCAGAGACCTTGGGAGAAAGTCTAAAGAAACAGAAAACCAAAGTCTGCCAAGTCGGTTTCAAAACGAGCCCGAGGGTCCTGTTCAGTAAGGCCTCGGGTCCACTGTCGGCCAAAGAGCCCCAGGCTCACCCAGGCAACCTGGCAACTTCCCGTCAGCCCCCTTCTCAGAAGTTCCTAGGACAACATCAGTGTGTGACAGGCAGTTTCCGCATCTGGTTAAGCACTGGACCTCAAGATCAGCAGTTCAAATCCCCCAGCAGTTCCAAAGGAGAGAGAGAGGCTATCTGTTCCCATCAAGATTTATAGCCTTGGAAACCCTGTCCTAGGTCACTGGGGGTCAGAAATGACTTGATGGCAGGAGATTTGATCTTCTTTGTCAAAAGGAGAGAGAAATGTGAACATTCCTAAAGACAGGTCAACTGACCTGGAGAAGTAGACAGTGAATACCTACCACTACCCACTGCTCTGGTAGCGTATTGGTTACGAATCGGGCTGCGAACCTTAAGGTCAGTGGTTCGAAACTACCAGCCGCTCCGTGGGAGAAAGATGAGGCTTTCTACTCCCATAAGGATTTACACCCTCGGAAACCCTGTACAGGGTTGCTATGGGTCGACTCCGACTCGAAGGCACTTAACAACAACAACCCACTGCTCTGAAAGGGCTCCTATCAGAAGGTTCATGGCAGAGTAGAAAAATAAACGCAAATTCAGAAGAAAGCCCAAGCTTACTGGTCAGACAGAGACTGCTGGAACCCCAAGGCTGCGGCTCTAAGTCACACTTCAGGTCTAGAGCTGAACCTCACAGCTCAGCTTTCAGTCAAACAACACACAGACTCCTAAGGACTCCTGGTGTGGCGCTGTAGGATCAGTGAACCACAAGGTCGGCAGTTCAAACCTACCAGCTGCTCCTTGGAAGCCCTCTACAGGGTCACTGCAACTTGGCATCGACTCGATGGCACTTCACTACACCACCAGGGAGCTGTACATTCCTTAACATCAGCCACATGAGGTCAGAAGGGGAGCATCTGCCCAGGAGTACAGCTCAGAGGGCAGGAAAGGAGAGGGACTGGACCCAGGAAGTCCAGGGAGGAAGTGGGAAGACCGCTGCTTCACTGTGGGGGCTGCCATTGAAGACATGACACACAGTCTGTGTGAACTGCTGAAGAGAAAACTGATGTGCGCTGTAGAGCTTCCCCCAGTTCACACAGGAAGTTCAAGGCCGTCTGGGGAGGCCGCACAGACTTTCAATGTCGCTGATGCACTGGGGAGCAAAGGAATCATAAAAACAGGAGTGGGGGGGGCGGGGGGCCTCTGCACACCAACGTTGTGAAGCAGCTGTGTGTGTCTCTGACACAGCCCACCATCGCAAGGCAGCAGGTCCCCAGCACCCACGAGGGATGGAAGTGAGGCGCTGGGGCAGGCAGCATGCTGGGAAGAGAGCGCCCCGTTGCCAGCACTGGGGCTCCCAGATCTGCCTAAGTCAGTGACAGCTTAGGGGCCGTGTCTGAGGAGGTGGGACTGTGGTCAGACCCCTTCATGGCCGGCGCGTCACTGACAGCAGCTCCACATCGCTGAAGGACAGAGGAAGGACAGAGGGCAACTCACGCTTGGCATAGACATCTCGGCAGGACACACCCGGGATCTCCAGCTTCCACAGGGTTTCACAGACGCCATACTCTGTGGAGACAAACGTTTGCCAAGAGTCAAAATCAAGAGATGACAGGGCAGCAGAGACCAGCAAACACACAGACACAGACAACAAGCCCACGCCCGCCTCGGCCTCATCTACTACTGGCTGTGGTCTCTTTCCCTCAGGAGGGTTTGTGGGACTTGTCCCCATTCTGCCAACACACTCACTCAGTGAAGATGCTGGTCAATGTCACACTCAGTGAAATCACAACCCCTGTAGTCAATGAGCTGTGGAAGTCCAACAGCACCAAAATCAGACCATCCCATCTGTGAGGGAGAGAATCTGAGATGCCTGGAAAGGTGTCGTGTTCCCGGGGAAGGTGGTTCTATTGGGTGGCTGGGCTCCAGGCAGCCCACCAAGACCTGTCTCCCTGCAGGGCAGCGCCCAACCTAACCGCTCACATCCTGCACAGGGGAGGCAGGGACGGTCTGCCCTGGACCCTTCCCACCTCCTCTGCCCCTAATATCACCCAACCTGGCTTCCCTTTCAAAGTCACCTCCCAACCCCCGCCACCCACTTCCCAGTCAGAACTGTGGGCCCTTTAGTTCAGGCCTCGGCCACACTTCAAAAGAACTAAACGAATTCACCAAGGCAGACTTGCACATTAGCCAATAGCTGACAACGTTAACACCTGCCATATCCAAGGGCGAGCATGGTGCCAGGGACGCTCTGCCATCCCCCGCTGCAACCCCACAGGGTGCCGAGGTGGACTAAGCCTTCCGATGGGGGGCCCAGAATGGAAGCCAGGTGAGCTGGGCGCCGAGGGCCATGGTGGGGCTCCTGGGGGCTTCACCATAGTCACCCAGAGAGCCACCTCAGTAACCCCGCCCCTGGTTCCAGGAGATGGAGTCGCCTCATGAGATTGGGGATCCAAAAAACACGCTTTTCAGTCTGAACATAAACGAATTCCAATACGCAAGACCAACACGAGTGGTACACACTCTAAACAAAGCTACATTTTAAAATTGAACTTGGTGCCACATTCTGACAGGGAAGGTGATCAACCCTCCTGTCGTTAGAGACCCAGGTGCTCTGGGCAGGTTTAAAACCAGAAAGGCCAAGCGTTGAAGTTAGAGGGAGGAGAAGTGGAGTGAGACACCAGCATCATGCCCCCGGCCCTACCAATGAGTGAAAAGGACCTCAACAGGAGGAAGATGTTCCAGAGCCTTCTCCAAGAGCAGGCCAGGCAGGCTACCTACGGCCTCGCAGCCTGTCGCTGGCTCCTCAGTCCATGGGACCCACGAGTGCCAGGTGGCATCAGGCTGACCTTGGAGGGACAAGAAGGAATGGAGAAGAATGTCCTGAGTGAAATCAGGTTTCACCAGAATAACCTCCAAGGAGGGCTACAGAATGACCTCAGGAGCTGGGTCACTTTTTATACTCTGAGGTAATTTTCTGCAGCAACCCCACACTCACTGCCATCAGGTGGTTCTGACTGGGAGTGACCCTGCAGGACAGAGGTGGACGGCGCCAGAGGGTTTCTGAGGCTGACACCTTTACAAACAACTGCTACTGCTTTCTCCCTCGGAGCCTCGAGGCTCACACACGTTAACCTGGGGGGCCGCGTAAATTCGTCTGATCCAGAAGAGAAGGACGTCCGGGGCTGGGAATGAGGGGCAGGCGGCATAAATTCACTTCTTTTAACAAATCAGCAGTTTCCCTGGGCCCTAATTCCCAGCCCATACAGCCCCCTCCATCTCTGTGCACAGCTCAGTGGCTTGTACTTTCAGTTATAAAACCATCAGTTTCAGAACGGTTCCCAGAAACATTCCAGCTGTGGAGCCAATCTTGTCACAGCTACCCCATGTGACTGAGTCCCCCTGCCCTACAGGACCGAGCCGCTCATCATTCTTCTGCGCAGCAGCTGGTGGGTTCAAACCTGCGCCCTACCACCAAGCCACCAGGAACTACAATCAAGGGGTCTTTGATGAAAAGGTCGGCGCCATTCAGCTGACAGCTTCAAGGAAACAAGATACTAAGTCTCTGTCGATGGGAGTTCCAACAGCACCAACCGGAGCGCTGCAGGAAGGAGCGAGCAGCCACCCTACTGCAAACATTCAGTCTGGATACAATAAGCATGCTCATGCTTATCTCTCAGTGAAGAAATCTGAGAACATCACTTGAAAGTCGCCCTTACGATGTACAATTCAGACTGAGGATGAAAGAGTAGTCACCAGCCAACACTGACAGATGGCGACAGGGCATTAGGAGAGCTGGCCTCTTGTCCACCCAGCCCTGTGTCCAAGCAGCAGTGTCCCTGTGACACGGGCCCTGGGCTCGTCCCTGAGCATTGGCCCTGAGCCACCGGTGACCTCACATTCTGAGAGTCTGCCTGCCACCCCGCAGCCACCCCGCCCCTGTTCTATTAAAATTTCAGTGCAGAGATATCGGTACAAAACATCCTGTTCTTCCAACTGATTGCTGGAGGCCAGTTGCTTCCTCACTGCAGGCAGCCAGGAGGGGCAGGGGTTGGGGCTGGAATCGCCCATCTGGGGGCCCCTCAGGCAGTTCACATCCTACCTCGCTCACTCCTGGTCTGGGCCCCGCCACCCTGGCCTGCGCTGCAGAGTCCTGGGGAGTGTGTTTGACAATGAGAAAGGTGCGTTTATTTCTTCAGAAAACAGGAGGGGGGTGCAGAGCGTTTCCACCTGTCCTGCACCGTTTTCCCGTCTCACATGCGGCCGTGTGCCGCTTACAGTGACACACCAGGGCTGGTCCGCTACCATTCACTAAGTCCTGCTGTAGGTGGCACTGTGGCTCAGTCGGGTGGGGTCAGCACCTGCAGCCCCTCTGCTAATGGCCTGCCTACTGTCGCTGTTAGGGCTGCCCTCCCTGAACCATGTGTCCTGTTTTTCAGCCTGCTAGAGCAGTGTTGCAGCTGGTCTGTTCGTCCTGAAAGACGGCCCCTGCTCGCTATCCCAGCAGAGTCTGAATGCCACCTGACAAGGCAGCTCCTCCACACAGCACAGAGCCAGCCACAGCGTCGCCCGACGTGACAGAGGAGACCTGCAAATGCAACAGCTAGCTCCGGTGAGTCAAACCCACCAGGCCCTCCGTGGCAGGAAGATGAGGCTCTCCGCTCACAAACCCTGTGGAGCAATTCTGGGGTCACTGTGAGTCAGGACCCACGCAGCGGCAGGGGGCAAGTGCTCATTTCGAGAGCTTGGCAAGGCATCTAGATGGCTCTGGAGGCAGTTGCCTCTCCTGGGATTGCTGAGGGCTGACGGCAGGGTTTAGGAGGTCTGTGTCCACAGCGTACTCTGGCATGACAGAAAGAATGCATTCATTCCCTCCCACCTATCGGGCACGTTTAGTGGGATATGCTGTGCTCATCCCTGAGAATCATCGCTTGCACTTCTCTATAACTACAAGGGACGGAGCCTGAAGGTCCATCCAGTCATGTCTGCTGTTGTTGTTGTTGTTAAGTGCTGTTGAGTCGGTTCCGACCCATAGCGACCCTGAACAGGGTTTCCGAGGCTGTAAATCTTTACGGGAGCAAAAAGCCTCATCTTTCTCCAAAGGAACGGCTGGTAGTTTCAAACCACTGACCTTGCGGTTTGCAGCCCAATTCATATCCACTACACTACCAGGGCTCCTTATGGGGTCACCTCAATCTCTGTGGGCAGGGAGTTTGTAAGACCAGATAAGGCCACTATAAAAATGTCACCACCAAGCAGAAGACAAACAAAATGACGATGCAGTAGTACTGAATAGAGCATTACAGGAAGGCTACAGAATGACCTCAGGAGCTGGGTCACTTTTTACACTCTGAGGTGATTTTCTGCAGCAACCCCTAACTCACTGCCTTTCTGCAGCGACCCCTAACTAACGTCCTTCTGACTGGGAGCAACCCTGAAGAACAGAGACCTACGGCAGTCCTCAGGGGGTTCCACCTACTGAGCCCAAGGCCACATGAACTCATTGGGGTAGCCCAATGTCATCTGAGCCACACGTCCCTGCGAGACACTTCGCTGTGTGTGTCATGTGATGGGAAAAATCTTTTAAAAAAAAACAAACATGGCTAAGAACAACGGTACATCTCCTTCCTGTTCCACAAACCTTCCACTCTATCAACAGGGAGGTTGTTGTTGTTGTTAAGTGCCGTCGAGTCGGTTCCGACCCATAGC